TATCTTTGATAGCAATCAGATGTGGTAAACAAGTTCTTCCCGGAGTAGTGCAAAGTTCTTTATTATTCCCTGAGATATAACACGAAACAATCAGAGGCAAGAAAGCAATGACAAACTGATGTGTTTTCATTAAGGAAAAAAAAAAAAAAAAGATGGCAGGCATTTTGACCTTGAAAACTGCACTAGAAATGAAAAACAAGCACATGAAACACAGTGAACAGAAAGAAAACATAATAGATGAAAAAGGTCAAATCATAAAGATTTCAACAGATATGGGGAACAAAATCACACCCTGAGATAGTGAGTTTTTAGTTCCAAAACACTATCACAATCATTGTACTATACATTTTTGGGAGCAATGAATGAGAGCCTGTATGCCAACAATGATGACATATGGTATCTTCTTTTTCTATTCCTTGTGACCATTCATGATGTAGGTGATCACGGCTCTCCACAACTTTCTGTCCTTTGTAGCTTTTGTAAAGTTTATCTTTTTTTCTATCTCTCCTAATCTCTTTTCTGTTAATCATTTACACAAGCTTGTTTAGGTAGGTTATTTGCTTTTTTCTTCTGTCCCACTTGCTTTTGATATGTCCTGTGAATGTCAAACTCTCCAAGCCCTATTTCCTTATATGTGCCTTAGAAATTTCTATAAAAGAGAGAAACATGAATGTATGGCATTACATGAGTTAATTTATAGATTTTTATTTTGCACAGGTCGTACAATTACCAGTACTGAAACAATGTCAGTATTTTTTAAATCTTCCTCTGCACATCATCTTTATTATGACTTGTGAGTATCAAATTCTCCAAGCCATTTTTACCCATTAGGTGTCCTAGAACTTTTAACTGTATTTCTTGCATCTAATTGTAAATGTCCTTTTTGCTTCCACATATCAATAGTATATCTTACTATACCATATGTCAATAGAGTGAAAAGGGTTAAGTCTATTGACATATGATACAGTAAGATATATTATTGATATAATAATACAATAAGGTGCTCCAAAAGTAAATGTCTCTTATTTATTACCGTGGAAACTGCAATAGATTCAATATAACAACTACCCTGGGTACATGGCAGCAGCCCCCAAAAACTGGGATAGGTGGGTACAAGAGGAGGACAACAACACACAGAAAACAGTCTGCCTGCCTTATGTGAAGGGGTTATCAGAGAAAATACAAAGGATCTGCAGTTCATATAACATCAAGACAATCTTCAAAAGCTGGATGACACTTTGCAGATATCTCTCCGAGTAAGACACCCCCCACATAGAGGAGAATATGACTAAAGACTGTGTGTATGCTATCCTATGTAGCTGTGGAAAGAAATATGAAGGGAAGACAGACTGCCCACCTTAAGGTAAGGCATTTTACAAAAAAAAAAAACAAAAAAAAACACCAAGAACACCAGAAAGCTGTAACATGAGGAGAATTGGAAAATTAGACCTGGCTGACTGGCTGGAGAGAAAAGGGAGATCACCGCCCTCTGTGGGATCAGGTCGAGATCATAGACAAAGAAGACCATTGGAAAATTCGTAAACTTAAGGAATCAGCACATATGCTAGGCTACAAAAATCTCCTGAGCCGACCAAGCATAGAAATGAATACAATATGGGAACAAGTAATAAAGAGTGCCAGAGAAAAGCAATAATAACAACAAAAATTGCAATATGAGCTCTGGTAACAAGCAATGATAATAGCAAAAATTGCAATATGAATACTGGTAAAAATGGTTGCTGAAGACATTAGGTTTATAATACCAAGAAATTCATACACAGATGTCCTCAATGACACAGTGGATAAAGCATTAGTTAGATCCAGTGAGTTCAATACATGGTTAAGGCAGTGGAGAACTTGGAGAGGGGAATTCATTAACAGGAGATAACTGAAAACTGACATCCATCTCAGAAATATAGACATCATCAGATAGAGCAAGTTTTCATCTACAAAACACTATTTTTCCATAGTCACCACCACTTGTCATCTTCTGTGTACCATGCTACTTTAAGGAGTTGGGTGATCATGGCTCTCCACAACTTCCCGTCTTTTGTATCTCTTAGTAGGGTTTGTCTTCTTGTTGTCCTGCTTAATTTCTGTTCTGCGAGCCATTTACACAATCTTGTTAGGTAGGTTATTTGTTGTTTTCCTCTGCCCCTCTTGCTTTCAATTTGTCCTGTTTCTGTGGAGAATTTGCGTCAGTACAGATGCAAAAGAGGCCTCAGATCGCATCCTGAGACTGTTTGGCATGTCTACATACAGGCCACTCTGCAATTGGTCAAGATCTGGGATTTTGTAAAATGCCTCATATCAATAAAAGCTGGTGGAAAACAGCAGTTGTGAACTCAGGCGTTTTGTTCCTCAAGTTGCTGTGGTTTCCAAGGCATCATTTTTTTGTTTCCTCTTGTCTCTTTCTCCCCATTACCCCTGTAGTTCCTGGGAGAGCAACCAGTTAGGTGTTTTCCGCTATCTCAACAGACACTTTGCTTACACGACAACATTTTCTAAGCCCTCTTTCCTCATTATGTGTTCAGGTGCTACCTGTTCGCCAGTGATGAACAAGGGCCTTTATGCTACACCCATAAACTTGTAACACACATTACTGTCACAACTGCTGGAATACATTACTCACTGCCTGTGCTCATATCCACTGTTAGGTCTCCATAAACATTCAACAAGCATTGATTAATGTCAGTGGATGTAATTATTTCAACATGGAGAAATTCACTGAGAAAACCTTTGCTTTGTATGTGCTTTCATGTCAGGAAACATTTTACCAGCCTGCCACTCAAAATTTCAGATATCAAAGATAGATTTTATCTTTGAAACCTCGGGATAACTGGAAAGCCCTTGTATAAATTACATGCATATTTCGTTTTTTCCTTGTTATGTGTGGATAAGATTGAGAATTGGCCATTTTATTTGGCTAGAAAGAAATCCCAGTATGTATCTGTAGGATGTGTTTATAAATTTGGGGAAGTGGGATTTTAGTGGTTATTCCTGAGATTGAAACACAGCCTGAGTGAGTTGATTTACCCTGCTATATATATATATAAATATTCTGATGTTTGATTATTTGATCAAATACTGGGAAGTGGACCAAACTGAAAACATCTCTGCACATTTTCATGTGTGCATGTGTATATGAATTTTAATTTTTCCAAGGGCTTGCAACTTTGTTTCAGTCATTCTACGCTCTGGCCTTCTTCAGGTGAATGGAATTTTGAACTGAACCCTCGATCTCACTTTAACTCTCCAAGTTTTTGTTCACCACTGCAGAAGCCAGGTATTGAACTCACAACTATTTGGTTCAAGTCACTGGATCCAACCAACACTTTTATCCACTAGGCCACCTTTGTTGTTTCTGTCACATTTCCCTGGATCGGGCAGTGTGTTTTTACACTCAGTGGAAATGGATGAATGATAGGTGAACAGTACTAAATAAAAATAAGAACTAGATGATATCCCTAGACATGAGCAGTGGAATGAGAACAGTCTACCCCTGTAGATTAAATAAAGGGTTAAGTTCAGAATTTGTTGTAGGTTACTGTTGTAACCAAGTAAATGGATAAGAAACAACAAAACAAGAGGTTGCAGATAAATTGTGTATTGAACATTAAATACACACAAAATTGAGTTACACGACTTGGGAGTGTATATTGGTTGACCAGCGTTCAAGTTATATTATTGTTCCCCCGAGGCTTACTTTCCTACTAATTTTATAGTAAGTGGAAGAGTCCACAAAAGTCTCATTAGAGGGAGGACACCACAACAGTTACCCAGATTGTTATACACCTGAAGAAGGCCGGAGGGCACAATGGTTGAAATGTTGTGATAAAAACAACAAAGATGAGGGGAATAGTTTGAATATAAATAGTGTAAATAATTATAAGATGCTAACTGAAATTTCTAAGGCAAATAGAGCCTGCCTGTGGACATATGGAAGACCAGAGGGACAGAGAAAAACAAGGCATAACCTACCTAGCAAGTTGAGTAAATGGATAGCAGAACAGGGTTTTAGGAGAGATAACAAAAAAAAAAAAAAATTATTGAGAGCTAAAAATGAGCATGAAATTGTGGAGAGCCATGATTACCAACATCCTGAAGAGACACAGCACACAAAAGATAGAAAACCCAAATGTTACTTTTCAGTTTGGATAGTTCAATCCTCCGTATATCAGCATTTTTTAACTCATCTTTTGTATTTCATAAAAAGGATCGTCAGAGAATTTGGAGAATATTGTATAAAAGCCCCCAATACCCACATGTGGCCGTGTGTGAAATGAAACAAATAGAAATGTCTGTGTCAGTAATAGGCATGACTGAAGAGGGAAGCAGAGAACGGATGCAGAAATGATATAGAAAATGAAGAAGAAGAAGTCTGAAGCATTTTCAGTAAGAAGGAAAAATGAGTAGTAAGAGGAATTGATATGTTTATAAGCCTTTCAGTAAACAATGTTATCTATGTGCAAATCTTGGTGCAAATGACAGACTAAGTTTTCAGCAAAGATAAGAAACTTAGAATAACTGATAGGATGCCAATCATTTAAATGAAGTCCAGGGTGAGGGAAAAGGGAGGGTGGAGATGAGCGGGAGTAGGGGCAAGAAAGATTGAAAGACATTTAGGAATATTAAGAGAAAAGAAACAATATCAGAAATGAAACAAGGACTGGAAAGAAAGGTGAGAGGGGAAAAGAAAACAAAAAAAAAAAAAGAGAGAAGAAAATGATATAAGGAAAAAATAAAGAGAGTATAAAGGAAATAAAAGATAATGAGAGGGATAAGAAAGGATTATAGGAAAGAAAAAAGAAAGAGAAGAGGGAAGAAAGAAAAATAAAGGAAAAGAAAAGGCACTGAGTTTATCAGAAATGAAGTACCGAAAAAGAAATGGAGTGAGGAAGAAGAAAGACAAAACAGAGGGAAGTAAGAATGAAGAAGAGAATAAAGAAGTGAAGAAGAAAAGAAAAAGAATAGAGAGAAAAATAAGGAACAGAAATAAATCAAGGGAAGTAAGAAGGAAAATATAAAGAAATGGGGGGGGGGGGAATAAAGAAAGAAAGAAGAAATAGAAGAAAAAAAAAATGAAGAGAATAAAGAAAGAATAAAAAATTATATAAAAGAAGGAAAGAAACAATAAGAATGTGTTGGAAACAATAATAAATGGAAAGAACGAAGAACATATAGAAAAAGAAATATAAAAAGAAAGGAGAACGCAAAGAAAAAAAAGAAAGGAAACAGAGAATTATAAAGAAGCAGAAAGAATGAATAAAAGATGGAAATGAAAGAAAAAAAGGGGGGAAGAGAAAGTATTTGAGAAAGATTATTGAAAGGAAGAAACACTGATGAAAAGAAGAAATGGACAAAGACAAGTAGGAAGAAATACAAAAGGAATACTGAATTTAAAAAACAAAACAAAACAAAAACTGGCAGAAAAACGAGCAAATAGTAGTGAATGAAGAAGAGTGAGTAGAGAAAGAAGAAGAAAGGACAAGTGAAAGAGAAAAATAGTAAAAAGAAGGAAAGGGCAAAGAGAAGTGAAAGAAAAAAAAACCCAGCAAAAATGGTAAAACAGCTTAAAAGAAGTTACAAGAGGGAAAGAGAAAAACAATAAAAAAACATTAAGAAAGAAATCAAAAGAAAATCATTGGAAGGAAAGATTAAAACTGAATTACAAAATCATAATATTTATATGTCTTCAACTTGTAACTTATATTCCATTATAATAAACAAAGCTGGTTTGTGAATGAAATTATCCGGTTGAGCACTTGAGAAAAAGGGGGTATTAAAAACAGCAGCTCCTACTGCTATTAAGCAATACTCTTCAAGTACAAATTGAGTTCTCCAAGCCGCTGGTGTATTTTTTATAGGAAAAAATGTTAAAAATTCCCTTCCTTTCTGCTGTGCTATGATAGCCTGGATGTCAAATCAGTCAGATTTCGATCCCAGCTTCAAGCAATCAGACATCTAGCCACACTGAGGAGCTGTGAAACAGTGAAACAGTCTGTCAGTGGATGATCACATATACATATATATATATATATATATATATATATATATATATATATATATATGTGTATGTATATATATATGTGTGTGTGTATATATATATATATATATATATATATATATATATATATATGTATATATATATATATATATATATGTATATATATATATATATATGTGTATATATATATATATATATATATGTGTGTGTATATATATATATATATATATGTATGTATATATATATATATATGTGTGTATATATATATATATATATATATATATGTATATATATATATATATATATATATGTATATATATATATATATATATATATATATATATATATATATATATATATATATATATATATATATATATATATATATATATATATATATATATATATATATATGTATGTATATATATATATATATATATATATATATATATATATATATATATATGTAAGCAAATATATGGATATAGATCTGACAGTATGAAGAAAATATACTGAAAAAAAACAAACAAAAAATCTTAATATGCGATTATGCTGTTTTAATGTCTAATGTCGACGTCGGACATTTTGGTCTAATTTTTTTTCTTCATATATATATATATATATATATATATATATATATATAGTAAAGGTAACAAATCTGTTGGTATAAAATCGAAGTGGATCCTAGTAATACAAGATACTAAAACTGATCCACAAAAAGAGGTCAATGTATTTATTATTACAGATCAATATAATTAATAAACAATAACATCCAAAATCACCTCATATGGGGAATAGCTATTTCGGCAGGCGTAGATATCGGTTGTCTGTCTTATTAACCTCAGTGCGAACTGAGTTTATGTCAGAAATAGAAATTTAACTGTGAAAGCTAAAAACAAAAACAACCTGTCAAGAAACTAATACAGAATTTATCCATTTGAATGTTTCAGTCAGACGAAAGGCACGAGATATATATATATATATATATATCCTTAGTCCTACTCTGCTCTTAATTTTCATCAATGACCTTCCTGATCGTATCATCTCTTTCAACCATGGTATCTGTGCTGATGACACAATTATTTACTCCTGTCTCGATAGTAAGTTTGATCAGATCGATAAGGTCAAATTGGTAGCTGATCTCAAAAAAGACCTACAGTCTGTTAACTGGGCCAAAGGATGATTTGTTAATTTTAACTGCTCTCTATTAATCATCTGAGAGACACCTTTCTACCTTCCATCAGTACAGCTGATGCTAACTTCCAAGAGAATGATTCATTGCTCTTTCTTGGGATAACATTCTCGGCTCACATAAAGTGGAAAGACTACATTGAATCCATTGCTAGGTCAGCTGCTAAGAAAGTTAGTTCGCCGTGTCATGCTAGACATTTTCTCTCTCCAGAATCTATCTTACATATCTATAAGCTTACCATTCATCCATGCCTCAAATATGGCTGCTGTATATGGTCTGGTGCTCCTGCTTTATATTTAGAGATTCTTGATAAAATCCAGAGAACAATCAGCAATATTATTGATCCTGACCTGGCATCTCGGCTTCAGTCATTTTCTCTCCACTATAAAGTTGCTTCCCTATGCCTTTTCTATAAATACTTTCATGGTGATTGTTCAGGTGAGCTCTTTGCTTTCTTACCTAGACTTTTTGAATTTAAGCGCAGTACTAGACTGGCCACAAGGTCTCAACAATTTACAGTTGAGTTGGCTAGATACAACTGTAAGTGCTATGCTAAAAGATCCTTTTCTTGCACTTCTCACTTGTGGAACTCTCTCTACCGGCTCCATGCTTTCCAGTCAAATTTAATCTTCAAAAATTTTAATGCAATGTCAATCACTATCTACTGTCTCCTTGTTTACTCTTCTATTGTTCTTGCACCTCAATAATGTTTCTGCTTTCTACTTTTCTCATACCTCGTGTCTTAGTGGCTTTACGGTCTTACATGGGGTGAATTTGATTTTTAATAAGATTTTTATATATATATATATTAATTTAATATATATATATATATATATATATATATATATATATAACGTCATCCACAGACAGACTGTTTCGCTGTTTCACAGCTCATCAGTGTGGCTAGATATCCGGTTGCCTCTAGCTAGGATCGAAACCCGACTGAATTGGTGTCAGTCGGAGATTCTAACCATTAAGCCGTCGGTGCACGGTAGGGATGAAAGTGGATTTTTAGCGTATTTATTTTTAGAAACATGCCCAGTGACCGACAGTGACTCAATTCGCATCTGCGAAGATATATATATATATATTTAGTTTATGAAAACTAGGTAATCCGTATGGGTAAACCTAAGGAGGATAAATTATGTATATATATATATATATATATATATATAATACACACACACATGGTGCGATGGATAATTTGTCATCTAAATTATGCAAAAATAAAAATAACACTGACATATCATTTTAACACAGATATATTTATCAAAATTACACAAAAACTATCTTGGAATACTAAAGAGTAAATTTATGCAATAAAATTACCATTGGCTTCAACCATGGCCTCCAGACATCTTCAGAATCTCCTGCATCACTTCTGGACAGTCTCCTTGTTTAAGTTGCTGCCATAATCTTTACCTTCAGTTCATCATTGGTGTTACAAGGAGTTTTGTTGGTCTCTTATTCAACTGTGTCCCACACATAATCAAGGTGTTGCAGTCTGGGAAGTTAGGTGATGTGGTCACAGAAATTGTTTAACACACATGACTGGGTTCTCCTGCTTGTGTGGCATGGGGCAGAGTCCTATTGCCAGACACAGGGTTTTCCAGCAGCCACCTGCTTGATCCAGGGCAGCACTACCTTCTCAAGGCACTTGATGAAGGTCTCTGTGTTAAGTCTGAGGCCCTCACCAACAAATTTGGGAGTTCTTTCCTTAGAACGATCACAGTGATTTTTCTGAGCTGCTGTACTCATCATGAGGCTCATCCAGCTCTTTCCAAATCCTCTACACTGGCCACAGATTAACAACCAAACACTCTGAAAGGTTTGTGCTGGAGCTTCTGGCGCGAATGCCAAGCAGCACAGTATGCCATTTACAAATTTCTGGTAGACTGAATTGGGTCATAGTGGTCTTTTTCTCACAGATGGTGCCCAACTGACCCTACTATACTGTGAAGTCAACAAAATCAAAAATAATGCACATACACAAAATTCAAAATATAAAATGGCGACAATTTACGCATCGCAGCTTGTGTGTGTGTGTGTGTGTGTGTGTATATATATATATATATATATATATATATATATATATATATATATATTGAAGTCAAGACCCAGAGGCATCAGTCTGTTTTGTTCTAAATGCATTTGTCAGGCCATATATATATATATATATATATATAGTGGCTGCCCACTCATATCCGAGAATGCCCATTGATGATTAGCTAATCCTGTTGCTGACGCCTGCTCAGGCACATTTGTGTTTGTTCAACACCCACACAGCCCACCTGTGGTTTATACTGCAACTATGCTGAGCTACAGTTACAGTTTCTGGGAGAGAGTACATTATCTAGTGTGATCAACAATCTGAAATATATATATATGTTTCATATTTCCTTTGCTGATTTAAGAATGGGGTTTTGGTGCACCCTTAATTGACGTATTCCAGAACAACTAAAGACCTGTTCTCTTGTGTTTGTGAATTTTTTGCCAACAGAATGATTAATAATCAAACGATGATCACTGTCCCATTTTTTAAATAGTTGGCTGTTAACATGAAGAAATCTGTAATTAATATTGGGTTGTTTATAAACCTATAACTATTTCTGGAAGAATATATTTTTTTTTTTTAGAAATCTATAATAGATTTTGATTTTTATCAATAATACTGGATATTCAGTAAGCATTAACAAGTTAAAAAAAGAGTTCTTTTACATTAAATGCTTTTTATTATTCATCAAAGAATGAAATCATAAAAAAAAGAAATTTAACAAATGAAAGCAATGTTTTTTTTTTGGGGGGGTAGCTTAAAAAAAAAAACAAAGATGGTATTTTAGTTGCCTAAGTTATAAAAACAGGTGTTTTTCTTTGTAAGACAAAAGAATGTCTTCTCTTTTCAGGCCAAGACAGAAAATCTCTCTGGGATTCTGCACTTTGTGTTCTTAAGTTGTTTTGGACATTTTGAAGCAAAGAATTTTCTTATTAATTTTTGACTAGTTCCATTTTTCTTGCTGCTTTGTTGTGGTTTCATTCTGTTTACTGAAACAGCCAAAGACTCAATGAGCTATTAATGTGAGAATAAGTAACAAAAAAACAGATGATTAATAAAATACAGTATCTCAGACTCTTAAAGACAACTAAACAAACAATAAGGTGTTGGATAACAGGAAAGCTGAGAAATTTACCTGACCATGACAGCTTCTATGACCAAAATGGCTAAAGCATCATCCATACAAGACAAGCTCTTTAATTACGGGATTTTAATTTCAGTTTGAGTCACAATTTTTGAGAAGAGGAATTATTATTATTATTATTATTATTACATGCCTTTCTATTGACTAGTATAGTTATCTTGGTTGCTATATTCTCATTTTGGAGGATTTACTCTTCAGCTGAGTTAGCTTGGACATTCACAAGTCTATAATACCAACCATCAGAGTCCTGTATCAAGATCAGAAGGTCATTAGATGGTTGCTGGACGACCGACTTGTCTTACTCCATGGATAGGTTTCCAGAACAGTAGATCACTCATGAGTTCTTGTTTTGCTCACAAAGTATTGTAGAAATATAAAGGATGAATCCATAGAGATGTGATTTAATAAATGGAAAATAATTCTTCGGCCTTCTTCAGGTGTTTGTCTTCGTACTCACTAACATTTTCAGGATTTTGAACTAAACTCTCCATTCAGTTCACAGGCTAGATCCTTCTCATTTCACTTTCCATACTTAGGGGATGTCCTATACCAATTAATACTCACCATTTTTATCCACCTTTGTGTCTGTTTCTTCCACAGACTAGGTGACTTTTCAGCACTACCAAACTCGGGGATTGAACTCATAACCAGAGAACCAGGTATGTTTTAATAAATCAATGGATATTTTAAACAATCCAGTACTGTAAGTTTGAAGCCTTAAACCTAATGTCTGTATACAAGTGGTGGACTTCTATGAGTTTCATTACGGGCCGGGGATTTTTTCTGAGGCCCCCAAATGTTATTCCTCAGTATGCTAGCTCATCAATGCCTGTGGAATGAAATCAGGAGAACCTCCTCAGTAGACCTAGCAGAAAGATGAATACCATCTGAGAGAGACTGATTTGTGTTTTATGGCTTATCAACCAATTGTGGGTTATTTAAAGCCAAAAGATATTTTGGATTATAAGAATAATGCTTTTTTTTCTTCTTGTGAGTGAATATTATATTAACAGTTTTTTGAGAATAACAATGACTTTTCCAGATACAAATCCTACTATTTAATCCATAGCTAGGGGAGGAGATAGACTTATACCTTCTCCAAGTGTATTCGTCTGTAATTGAATGCTACAAATTCAGATGGAATTAAAACTCTGCTCTCTGATTTTTCTTTTCCAAGCTGCTACTCATTACACCACTCACACATCCACGTGTCCAAGTGAGACACTGTGTCCAGTGTTGTAGTGCATCAAGAGCACAGAGCTGAGCTGATGGATATGTATGATATCCCCTGCATTGAACATGGATGTGATTTGAGCCAGTGCTATTAAAGATCAGTGATCCACCACTGTGCTGTCCACAGAGGGTGGTGATGCCTCCCTAATTCTCAGTACACGTGACAATAAAAGTGAAGAGATGTCAAATATCTGACGGCTACAATCATGTCCCATTTGAAAACTGATAATTCATGTCACCTTGCTGTGAACAGCCTAGCAGGTGTTCACACTGACTCCCTAGATGTCAAAGCACAACTGACATAGATCCAGGCATTTATATGATGTCTTATACAATGGGTTCACTTTTACATTCTGCTATCCTGTGACTTCTACTAAGGTCTGTAGAGAACATAACTAGCTATTTTAGATCTCTTCAGAACAGGCTGTGTAGCCTTGATGTAACTTGGCAACCAATTAGAGGGGATTTTACTGCACAAGCAGAAACATTTTCCTGTGAGATTAATCTCTCAGCAGTAAGGCACCATTGAATGAGATTGTATATTCAGTGACTGTTGCATTTACAATGACTGAATGAATATATTCTTTATATATTGAGATATTTTGCTAAATTCCAGATATGACTCCCTGCAAATTCTGGTCACTACCTCCAACAATATGAATTGCTTTCAACAGATTCCTGTCCAAGAAAAAAGTGTCAGTACCAAAATTTAATCTGGGATTTGCTCATTGAAACATAGTTCTTATGTTTGAATGAATACAAAAAAAAACAAAAAACAAAGTAAAGCAAAACCATTACTTACCCACACACACAAACTCTGAAATAAGGCAAACCAGGATTTGTTTTCTTAAATTTGGCATTTGGTTGGTAGACATCAAATACAACTGTCCATTTTTCTGGATAATCTGGAATTCTGCAAAGAGAAAATAATGAAGCACGTAAAGTTTAGAGATTGTTTTGAAGTGATTGCTGATATTCTTATCTTTGTCTGAACAATCTTTGGTCGTTATCTGCAGTCTGCAACATTCAGCCATCTTGGAGAAGCTCTGAAGATAGTCTTTTATCTTTTTCACTATTTCTTTTTTCTATATTACAATGCTTCAGTTTGAACATTTCAAATCTATGTGAGTGACAAAGATTCATGCTGCATTGATAATTTTTCAAACCAAAGCAAAAAAAAAAAAAAAAACAACATATTAATTATTTGCTTTGCTGATTACAGGAAAGTCCAGGATTTGGCACAAATGTCAAAGTTCCTGTTTTTCATTTTAAAGTAAAGTGTTTTTAGTCAAAATAGTTGATTTTAGGACATGTCAATCTTTGTTAGGTTATTTAATGCTTACTTTTGTATGGGATGTCCAGTGAGGATTGAACTCACTTCTCAGAAATTATCAACTAGATTTGCTTCACTCAACATTATTCCATGCCAAGTTTTTTCACAGTTTTTCTATGGTTTTCTAGGATGCTGGCTCCCACAGGGGTACTTGTTTCTATATAAGATATGATATATTTTGTCCTCAGTATATCTTCTATCTTTATTTTTAATCATTTCACCCTAAGCAAGGCAGAAATGCCACTAGTACACAGGGAGTTCAGTCAGTTATGTTCCAAGCATGATACACGCTTAGGCGATCATGTATCTTTCGATACATGACTGACAAGGCAGATTTTTTCCTGCAGTAGGTTGCCATTTCTTTCTGTGTTAGACCAGTTGCCATCCAAGGCTATAGAACCTAGTCTGTTCTGCTGCTTACCCATTGTTGGGTGTGGGGAGAAGAAGAGGATTCATACCTTTCCCAAGGGTATTAGCACGTAAGTGAATGGTAATCCGAACTCAGCTCTCCGATTCCTCAATCCAAGACGCAGGGAGTTACTAGGAGTGAAAGTGACAGAGAAGAATGAGAATAGGGAGGACTGAGGAAAGAACAAAAGATCAACAGGATTCAAGAAGCAGAAGATGGCAACTGATGTTGAACTTAAATTTTTGAAGATCGGGAAGCAAGCAAATAGAAGCGAGTTCCACGGGTGGGGAGTGCGAGAAAAAAAACCGTTGAAGTAAAAGTGGTTGCAACTTTCGCTATTTCAACATTTAAAAGGTAGTAGCACATTTAAATTCATATAGTCAGAACACAAGGGAAAAGCAGTTGCCATGAAAATATTTGTAGAAAAGACAGAGGGAATCCATATCATGTTAGTGAGAAAGTGACTGAAATAAAGATGGTCAGGATCCATTACATTACAGATGTTTCTTTGGACTTGACAAGAATCTCAAGATGTACAGCAGGAGTACCAGACCAGATATGGTAACAGTATTCAGTGCATGGACGAATGGTAGATTTATAAATGTGCAAGATGGATTCTGGTGATAAAAATTTTCTGGCACGACATAGTGATTCAACTTTTCTTGCAATAGATGCAGTTATTGATTCAATGTGTCATATCACTTCACACATGAACAATCATGGCTGTCCATGACTTCCTGTCCTTTGTGGCTCTTAAAAAGGTTTGTGTTTTTGCTATCTCTTCTAATCCCTGTTCTGACAAACTTATTAGGTAGGTTATTGGCTGCTTACATGCCCCTCATTCATTCAATATACCTTGTGAGTGCCAAATGCTCTAAGCCCTCTTTCCTCATGATGTGCCCTAGAAATTTCAACTCTTTTTCTGGTGCTAAGTATCCATTTTGCATCCATTTTCCTTAAAATTTCATTACTCACATGATCTATGGGATTCTCAGAAAACTCTAGAAACTTATTTCTATTGCTTCAAGTTTTCAGCATGATCTGGTCAGTGTGTATGTATGTACATTTTTTTTTTTTAAGCATTTCACCCCAAGCAAGGTGGGAAGCCACTAGGATGCAAGGGGTTACAGAAAATATAGAGCGAGATCAGATAGGAGTGATAGAAGAGGGTATGAGGAGAAGGGTAGTGGATAGATCAAGGCAACTGGAGATGTCGAAATATAGAATATATATTATACAATGCAAGTGAAATGAACAGAAATATTGAGATCAAGATGGGGAAAAAAAGAGTGGAAAACAGAGAGACAGACAGAGAAAGATGTCAAGTGGGAGTAAAGAAGTGAGACAGGGGAGAGTTTATAGAAAGGATAAATTGCAAGTAAAAAATAAGAATCAAAGAAACAGAAAGAATTATTTAAAAAAAAAAGAAAGAAATGAGAGAAACATTAGAAAAAGCAAAAAGAAGGTTGATTATTTTAAATGAGATTAAGAGAGAGAACGAACAACAGGTATATAGGATACTTTTGAGAAGAAGAGTGATAGACTATGAATCTAGAATGGAGCTTCGTTCTTAATAGGAAGGGGATATTAAATGCAAGGTAGTACTCAGATTTTGGTGGCTTTAAATGGAAACTTTGAATTAAAAAATTTTTAGAAAAGAAAAAACAAAACAAAAAAAACATGTAAATGGCTAAGTGGCATTCCTTGAAATTTAAGGAATGTTGGCAAAACTCATGTTTATTTTTTTTTTTTTTTTTCAATGTTAGAACATCCACATCTTGGGAAATAGAGAAATAGAAACTCTCACTCCATAAACAAAATCCAATTGCATTATGGGTACAGAGCTAAAGAGAAACAAACACAATGTCCTTTCAACCAATGAACTCTTAAAAAACTATCAGAAGTTATTTTAAAGAAGAGAAAAGTAAAGTGGATTGATAGAAGGAAGATGAAAAAAGAAAAAGAAAAACTAAGATTTTATGATTTTTTTTAAAGAATAAAGCCAAAATAGAAACATTGTGAAAAGCAAGGTACCAAGCAAATTCAAATTTTAAAATGAAAGA